ACATATATTATGCTCTCAGTTAGTACGTAATCTAGATCGAGCAGAAAACAGTGTGAAAGGCCTCATGCCAAGACAAAGTACCCTGGAATACGGGGAAGTTTTAACACTATCGAATAATCTGATAAATGATCAACTGACAACGGAGTTATAATCAGAAGATGACAAATTTGCAAATGCTTACAAGTCGAACCTGCCCAAGGCAATGGTCTAGACTGGAGATCATTTTCTGCTTCAAAAAACTGTACTAGCTTCAGGTTTGCTTACGTAAAAACAGTGACAGAGGATCGGGAGCGTCGGAGACACAGTTTGACGTTGCTGACTCCCCGATCCGAAAGAATAAGCGGCCATCGAAAGTGACCGATTAACGCCTCATATAGTCATTTTCCGGTTCATTAACAATACCCACGGTTCTTGTTCTGTCTGAGTACTGTTCAAAAAACACCTTCACATAAACAGCTTTGCCTCATAGGCTTTAGTCAGTCTGCCAACTTCCGGTTAGCATTGAATTTGTGATAAGAGTTTTTCAGATGGCCCCCTGTCGTCCCTTCGAATCGCAGGCTTCAAGGAGTAAGTCCGAAAATCGTATCCAACACTCAACCATCGCATTTGGAACGTCGTCTCGAAGAGAAACCGTGCATGCTCTTCTTTCAGTGCAATTTGCATAACTACTAGATCCTTTTAACCAGCCTAGGTGATAGTCCGGCGTTTAGCGGCATAAATCATGACTCGTAGAAAGATCGAGTATCGATAAGTTCTTTCCTCGTCGACATGGGCAGCTAGCTATCCAGGACCTATATACTGATGTGATTGAACTTTCCTATGTTGTCTTCCGTCTTCTGCAGATATGGCCTCTGATCTTGTTATTCGCGTCTCCTACGTAGCTAGCGATAATTTCCACTTCTTTGTCGTCAGCGAATAAGGCACCATCAAAGCAGGGTTAGATTTGTATCCACTTCGTGTCAGAGGTGTTCATCTGCAGACAAATCGTGCGTGACTCCTTCTGCCTCTGCATAACCCTTGTTTGGAGTTACACCGAGTCCTCGACGAAGTCAATGGTATCGTCTTAAAAGAACGGATGGGTCAAGCTTTTTCGCGAGGTTAATACCCGCCGCCTAGTTCAGACAGTTAAACAGGAACTCCAGAACCATGGAGTAAAGCTTAGGGGAGATGCTGACTCTTTGGCCTATTCCTCAATTGATGTTCATTCGACACGGTTCCTTGAACAGCTGAATGTCGGTTGTGGAGTCAGTATTCATTTCCTCAATCAAATGGGCGTAGACACGGTTGACAGCGCAATCGTACAAGGATTTCAGCATAGTGTTCAACTCGCTTTTCTGAAGCAGTTGAATGCGTAGCAGATAGGGAATTGCTATTCCTTGCATTTCTCTGCTAGCTGCTTGATGGTATGGATGTGGTCTGTGATATAGAACCCTACTGGCATTCTGGCTTGACTTTATTAGTGAGCAGCTTTAGGTCTTTTTAAATACAGTTAGAGATGATTCTGGTAATGGTTTATGACGTAGGGTAATGGATTGATAGCTTTAATAAGATGTAACAACTTTTCATAAGTAAAAGAGCTCTTTCATGACTCTAACGTCTTTTTTAGCTTGATGTACTCTGTAAATCTTCCGGCAAGAGCTCTGAACATTCCTTGAAATATTTCGGTTTTATGCTGTTTCCGCAAGGATATCCCCCCTTGATATTTTTGATAGCTCAGGCTACTTCGCCCAAAAGACACCGGAAACAGCTTGCGGGACAGTATATAGCAGGCCCCGGTTCACTACTACCTCCGAGAACAAGAAGCTGTTTAAGAATCTCGTGCAGATAGCGTGACCACGATCTGTGATTGTTACTGTTCCTTAGTCCTTCATTGCTAGCAGAATCCACAGCGTTAGGACGATGCCATTTTCCAACGGCTTTCAGGCGTTGTTCTACTGCATTCGTTGTAGTGATCCTGAATTTTCTTCCAGATTTTTTCGCACATAAGTCGTGGACCATCGCTGAAAAACTTCGAATCCGGGTACAGGCTGTTGAAATGGGCTTTCTTAGACGAGCAGCTGGCCTTACAGTTACGCGTCTCGACATAATCCGGAATGCTAATATCCCGAAGAGCCTTGGTGTACAGCCTTTGCATAACCAGATTGAGAAGTCCCAGCTGCGATGGTTTGGCCATGTGTGAAAGGAAAGAAG